CCGCCCACCGTTTCGCCGCTCTCCGACAGCTCAGCGAGCAACTGCAGCTCCGGCGGCTCGCCGAAGGCCTTCGTCCTGGTGAATGAGCTTGAGGAGGAGAGGCTGGCGAAGGAGAAAGAGGAAGAAGAAGCGGCGGAGGAAGAAGCTAAGAAGAAGAAGGACGAGGACCAGGACCAGGGTAAGAGGGGTGGTAATGGTGGTACTGATAATAATAATAATAATGGTGATGATAATAACGATATTGCTGATATCTCTGATGATGAAGAAGACGGCAGCGAGGACCAGAACGCTGAAGTGGAGTTCGAGGACCACTCCGACTACGAGCCCTTCTTCGAGATGATCGACCTGCTGAACTACAGCGGCGGCGCCTTCCCCGCCCTCAAGACGCTGGTGGTCCACTTTGGAACGGATCTGGTCGCCCGGCGATTCCGCGTCGCCGGCAGCCTCAATCTGCACCTCATCCACCGCGTGCCCTCCGCCTACCTCCGACTTCCGGTGAAGGCGGTGCAGAAGGCGCTGAACTCGATAGCGGCCAACGGCCACATCCGCGTCCTCAGCCTGGTGGTGCCCTTCAGCTACCCGCAAGGGGTCGCCACCTCCGAGCTGGTACTTGCCAACAAGTACCGCCTCTTTGGCCCCCTCTCCCGCACGGTGATCGCCTACCTCGAGGAGCCGGAAACGGAGGCCCATCGGCTGGCCCTGGCTACCACTTCCGGTCAAAACTTCAGCCACCACCAGGAGGCGCTGAGGGCGCTCATTCCCAGCAAGGTGCCCATTCCGCTGTCGCCCTACACGCACTCCCTGGCCCATCTCTCGTTGACACTGACCATGCGCCAGTACCTCAACGAGCCCACCCTCGGCCTGTTGCGCCACCTGACCGGCCTTCGAGAGCTGGTCCTGGTCCTCCGGAACGACCTCTCCCACCTGCAGAACCCTTGCCAGGCTTTCCTCGGCCAACAACAAAATGAGGACGGCGCCGAGCTGGCGGAGCACTTCGACGAGTACCTAGTAGAGGCGGCCGCCCTTCCGCGGCGGAGCCTCCGCCGAACTCCACGAAGTCTTGCGGAGATTCGNGCGGCGGAGCCTCCGCCGAACTCCACGAAGTCTTGCAGAGATTCGCCTGCCCAAGGTTCGCTCACTGGCAGTGACCATCGTCGGAGAGCCCTTCCGCCGGCCGGTCCGCGACCACCGAACGCTGCTCGCCCACCTCGGCATCGGCTTCACCTTTGTCAATCTGAAGTACCTGAACGTCGCCCTGGAGCTGCTTCCGCTCCACTGTGCCGCCTGTGCCTGTTGGGAGTTGGAGGGCAGTTCGGCGGCCGTTGACTACCGCGATCGCCGCTGCTTCCGCCTGGCGCTGGAGCCGGTCCTCGAGCAGGGCGGCCTCCGTGACCGCCTCCAGGGCGTGGAGCTGACGGTGGAGCGCTTCGGACCGACTTTCGACTCCCCGCGGACGGCCATTGAGGTGCACTCGATGTTGATGCGACCACGCCCACCAACAGCAGCAAATTCAGTGATCCGAGTGGATGCCTCTACCGATACGTCGATCAACTGAGGAGTAGTAGTGGTGGAACAAAAAAAAGTTGAGGACTGCTGAGTACTGAAGCTACTGAATCGCACTAATTGTTGGTAAGGAGTGGTTTAGGAGCTTCAGCAGATTTCTAATCTTTAATCTGTTCTCCTTTTGCTTTTTTAGTTATCACTGTTCCAAACGAACTGAGTCAATCGCAGGCTGTTGTTGGTCGCATTCTTGCACACAAGGCACTACTTTTCTATGTTATTAACCACTATCTACGTTACACTTTAACTTTAGTTTATAATTTTATCTTTCATCTAAACAAACCTTTATGTTAGTTTCTGCTGCTGATTTTCCCCTTATTTCCAAATTACTGTCTTCCTTTAATCTGTTTTGTATCTTGTCACCCCAGTCTATTCTATTGTCTATCCGTCCAATATCAAC